TCCAGGGGTGTTTTCTGCTGCTTTTTGAAAAGCATTAAAGCATAAAGGATTTTCAAGGGGGGGATTTAGGAAGTCAAAAAACCCACCCAGACACTCATCTATGTGCTGGCTGCATTTGTACATAACGCTAAACCATGGTTTATGAGGGTGAGCCTCAGACATGCATGCTTCCATAACACACACCCCGGCCTAAGTATGGCCGTGGGGAAGAATGGGGCGGGGAGACCTTTACCTCCATTTTTGACTATCCGCAACATAAAGTCATGTCTGAACCTAGACCAACTGTGGTTTAGTCATAACTATGGTTTACTACAATGCACTAACGCCAAACTGTGGTTTATAAAGCTGGCCAAAGTTAAGATTAACCACAATTTAGGGTTCAGACATAACCCTAAGCTATGGTTAAATTGGAAGCTTTCCATCTCTTCATGACCCTGCCAGAAGGAGGGCGTACCTGAGCCTGAAGTTTTCACAGGCTCACTGTCATACCACTGAGCCATGGCTACCTAAATGTTGAAAATAGCAGATACTTTTTAAAGTCCAGTCCCATAAAAACATGGCTCTGTTTATGCATTTCTGAAGCCTAAGGATGGCCTTTTAGAAAAATGTTCTGAACTGGGATGCTTGCTGGATTAATATTGTCTTTTTCAGTCTTTGCTGATGTGTGAAATTATATGATAAACAAGTAGTTCTCGATGAGTAGATTCACCTTTTCCCAGAATCCTCCAATTCTACTTGGATGGGGAGTTGCTTTGCTATCCTCCTGTCACTTTGGATGTAATTATTCTTTCTGCGTTCTGGTTTCTCGGTTTCTGTTTCACATGCTAGCCTAGCTGTGCCATAGTGAGCTTCGTAGTGAGCTAGGGCATACCAGCCAATTAAAGGTGCAACTGAAAGGACAATAACATAAGCTCTGGGGCTACCCCTTATGGGAGAGTGTTCCACAGGTCTTTTGGGGGCGGGCACCACTCTCCCTAGCAGCCACCTGTGAGAGTGGTGTCCACCCCCCAAGTATCTTTCTGTGCAAGCAGGTCGATATGGAGACAGCTTGCCTTCCATGATCCTAAGCCATTAAGGGCTTTAGCCCAGGCATCATATGATCATAACACCCATAATCTTGTCACCTGCCCAGTAGGGCAGATCTCGGAAGCCATGTGGATCAGCTGATACTGATCCTCTGGCACTATAGCGGGTTTCCTTCTGCATCGCCTGTCACGGTGGGCCTATGCAGAGGCACAGCCAGGTCCGTGCGGAGGAGCTGCCGCATTGGCGGGAAGTCCTATCTGGGGATCTAAAGCATAAATCCCATCAGCTGCCACTGCCACTGCTAATGTGATGCAGTTGTTAAAGTATATTTGTGCTGTGGAGAAAACATTCAACTCCCTGCTCACTTTTTTGAAAGTCACTGGGTTGCTCTATTAGGCTTGACATTCTCTGCCTAACCTATCACACAGGCTTCTTTTAGGGTAAAATTGGGATAACTCCCTCATATAACCTGACCTCGGAGGAAAAGGCAGGATACAGTGGTACCTCGGGTTAAGCACTTAATTCGTTCCAGAGGTCCGTTCTTAACCTGAAACTGTTCTTAACCTGAAGCACCACTTTAGCTAATGGGGCCTCCCACTGCTGCCGCGCCGCCAGAACACGATTTCTGTTCTCATACTGAAGCAAAGTTCTTAACCCGAGGTACTATTTCTGGGTTAGCGGAGTCTGTAACCTGAAGCGTATGTAACCCGAGGTACCACTGTACAAGTCTGTTCGCTTTCAAAACTGTGATCGGTGTGTACAAAGGAGCTGGGCATATTATAGGGATTTGAAACCTGCGCATGCTGACATCCTGCAAACATCCTCAGCGAGGCCCCTGAGAGTTGATTCTGAGCCTCATGGTTGTTGTGGAAGATTGTGCTCTGACTACAACACTGTACAGCGCTTTAGTTTTCCTTCTAGGCATGCGAGTGTGTGTGTGGCAGAGTCTTCCCATCCAGCCCATTTACCTTGAACTATAGAAACTTTTCGAGAACGTTCATCTGCGTGAATCCTGACCCAGGATTCCCTTTCTTAGTCACCCGATAATATTAGGAACTGGATTTTATGTGCATAGAGATGTGAAGCCTTCACCACATCAGAGCACTGCTGCATACAGTGGTACCTCGGGTTACAGACGCTTCAGGTTACAGACTCCGCTAACCCAGAAATAGTACCTTGGTTTAAGAACTTTGCTTCAGGATGAGAACAGATATCGCCCGGCGGCGGCACAACAGCAGCGGGAGGCTTCATTAGCTAAAGTGGTACCTCAGGTTAAGAACAGTTTCAGGTTAAGAACGGACCTCCAGAACGAATTAAGTTCTTAACCCGAGGTACCACTGTATCTTCACCCATTTTTACTGATGGGTGTTTTGTCACCCTTAAGATACCATGTCCCATCGTAGGCCCGGCTCAACCAGTTAGAAGAAGACTATATACTGCACTTTGTCGTTATTTCCCAACCTTTCAAACGCAGAAAAAGGATGGATGGAGGTTGCAGAATCCTGAGCTGCAGCTTGTGAGTCCTAGATGCATTAATCCCATGTCTAATATATGAGCTAAGCAGATGTCACCTGTCTGCTTATCGGGCTCCTAATAAATCACAGAGCATGCTCCGCCTTCAACAGTGTTTGAAATAACTGTAGCTTTTCGAGACAGAAATGAGGAAAAACTGTCCCGGTGCAAATCCTAGGAAATAAGAAAATGAAGCTACCCTTTGTAGCTTGCCAACAATTTCACAGCAGCCTCTTCAGCTGCATAATCAGGCTGACTCTTCCCCACCCAGCAACCGGCCCTCCTCCTTCCCTCTACACACGAACACTTGATGCAGTTAGAGGCAGTGTAATTTAACGAATCTGGGTCAAGAGCTGCCAGTGCATTAAATTGGCTTTACCGCCTTCATAGAAATATGAAGAAGCTTCTTCACGCCACCTAGTGTTCACCTGGTGAACAGTCATGAATTTCTAGCAAGTGACCTATAATGTTCCATAGTTCCAAATACAGTGGTACCTTGGTTTGTGAACTTAATCCGTTCTGGAAGTCCGTCCTTAAACCAAAGCATTCTTAAACCAAGGCGTGCTTTCCCATAGCAACGGGGGACTCAGTTTACAAATGGAACACACTCAACAGGAAACGAAACATGTTCTGCTTCCAAGGCAAAGTTCACAAAGGAAAACCCCTACTTCCGGGTTTGCAGCGTTCTTAAACCAAGTTTGTTCATAAACTGAGCTGTTCTTAAACCAAGGCACCACTGTAGTTGTTTTGCTTCACTGGAGCAAGATTCAAACGGTGAGTAAAAATACACCTTGAACTAAGCATTGTTGAAAATGCAATGTGCAAGCTTTTGAGTTACACAAAGCGCTTTCCCTAGTCTGAGTACAGCAGTTTTGCCCTCACTGACCCAGCCCCTCTTTGCTACTCCTGACCTTCCCACATTCAGCAGGAAGGTTTGAAGAAAGCCTTTAAGCACCATCAACTGAACAGTTTGGAGATTGTGCTCCTGCCTCCCATATTCACTGAATGTGGCTGTAGGAAATTAGACACAGTCCCTTTCTATTCCTTCAAGAACAGTGTGCAGGAGGCTCAATGTGTGCAAAGCATGGACATAGGCAAGGAGGGGCAGTTGCCCCCTAAATGAATAAGAAATAACAAATGGAGGTTTGGTGTCTTTTTGGTGTTCGTCTAAAAACAGCTCAGCAACTTTCAGGGTGTCCTGGTTTTTACTTTTTGAAATATACCTAACGTGAAGCCTGCCCCCCCCAACATAAATTCTGGTTATGCCCATGGTGCAAAGGAGCATGGAATTGTACCCAGCTGTCCTCATCCCAATCCCATGAGAGAGTGGGAACAGATCCTGAATATGCACATAGGTTGTATGCACACAGGCTCTCGGCTACATTAGTAAAGAAACAACAAAATGAATGCGCTTTAAGCATTCAACATCAGATGGCGCCAGAGAGCAGGAATAGTTTAAAACGACATTTCCCATAGGAATTTTTTTATTCCGTTAAAATAATCAAATTTCTGACTTATTAATAGCGTGTTTTTTCCTGCGTTTAGATCCGCCCCCTGCAATTAGGGTGCTGAATTTTGCAGGGTTCCTGACTGCAGGAATGGATGCTGATGCAGAGCCTATGCGCATGTAATTGCATATACAGAGGCTCCTTCTGACATTCAGATAAAGGTATGGAGATTAGAGGCAGAATTAGTGGACGTGATCCCCCTCCTCAGCACACCCATTTTAATGTATGAAAAAAAGCTTGTCCCCTCTCATAACAGGGAAAGTGTCAATGACATTTTCTTGATCATCCTCCCCCTCTAATTCCAAAATCCCTCCAATAAATCCTATCATTTTCTCCCTTGCGTATGACTGACCGCGTACACTTAGGGTTGCCAACTTTAAACTCAGCTTTGGCTCTTCTGCCTTTAACTGCAACCCAATGCCCAGGCAGTAGCAAGCTGGAGCTTTTCACTGCAAGGAGATGAGCGGTATCTGGAGTCAGTGAACAGCTTCCTCCTGCTAATGAAAGCAGATTAATCTGCTCTTAAAAGCGCAAGAGCCGAGCCAATAAAGAAAGTAGCAACATTATCTCTGCATTCACCTCCACTTGTGGGAGTGGTCAACACTTGACTAATTTCTTTTCCTGGTCAGTTGGCAATCCTTCTGTGCATACCCCATATCTTGCAGCAGCTGCTAACTGACTTGTTTGGGCCTTTTGGTGTAAAATTGCTGATGAGAACGGCTCTCTTGCAGCCAGCCATAGAAAGGAGTGTCGCGTCCATGCAGAAGCATCTAGACCTCGTTGTTTTGATCCTCTGTGCTTTGTCTGAGTGCATTAACAGTGACAGCAACAACGAGCAGCAGTCCCCTCTTCTCTCACGCTGGATCCAGCCATCCTGTTCACGATAGCACATGCAAACTCAGTTTCCCTTTGCACAATTCCTGGATCAAGTCCTTTTTTTTTTTTTTTTTGGCAATGATTTTGGACAGATTCTTTGCTTGGTTTTCTGTGCTTTCCTTGACCAAGGTGTCTTTGACACAGGCGGTATTTCTTCCCAGGCGCCTGGATTTAGGTAAGATGGGATTGTCATTTCTTGGTCGCAGTTATTACATAGGAGCACAGGAACCTTGCTTATACGGAGTCAGACCGTTGCATCATCTAGTTCAGTTTATTCTTACCATTGTGCAAATTATGAAGAAGATTGCCATGTTTTGTTCCTAGTCTTGCTCTTGTACCTTTAACAGAAAGCTTTGGTGACATTAAGGTAAAGGATGCTATCCTATAATACTTACCAGGGCATACTTTGAAGTAGACATGCATGGGATTCCACTGGAAAAGATGGGAGATTTCACACCTCCAACACATACTCAATTTCTTTCTGCAGATGGACACAGAAAAAGGTTGGGATATGCATAAGGAATGGTTTAACAATCAATCTGTATTCCCAGGGCACTTTGAAAACAGTTAACTCTGTGAGGGGAATAGGGGTCTGCTAACAGTTCTCACCACCATCAAATGTTGCTTCAGCAACGGGTAACCCCAAACTGAGCATGACAAAAGATTTCATACCTTTCAGAAACAAATCATTCACAAATATATTTTTTTGCGGTGATTTTTTGGTGTGGTTTTTTTTTTATTTGTTATGCGTCATGTGTGTATTGGCATATTGCTTTGTTATCGTAAATGAGAAAGGGTATATCATAAATAATAATAATAATAATTATTATTATTATTATAATTTATTATTTATACCCCACCCATCTGGCTGGGCTTCCCCAGGCACTCTGGGCGGCTTCCAAAAAAATATTACAATACTGTAATACATCAAACATTAAAAGCTTCCCTAAACAGGGCTGCCTTCAGATGTCTTCTAAAAGTCTGGTAGTTGTTGTTCTCTTTGACATCTGGTGGGAGGGCGTTGCACAGGGAGGGCGCCACTACCGAGAAGGCCCTTTATTTCATGGCCACTACCGAGAAGGCCCTTTATTTATTTCACTTCCTTTATTTCATGGGCAATGAAACATTATGGCCATTACTTTAGTGCAATATGTGAACAAACAACTCAGACCCACCCCAGGCGTGAATTTTTGGAGGTGGATCAAAAGAGGTTTGCAAATACCATGGGTTGACGCACACCCTCCAACATTTCTCTGATGAAAATAGGGACGTCCTAAGGAAAAGCGGGACATTCTGGGATCAAATCAGAAACTGTGATGGCTTATGCAAATCTGTGACTGTCCCTGGAAAACAGGGACACTTGGAGGGTCTTGGCATCAATAAAGAAGGTGGAAGGGCGTAGGATTGTGCCCTTTGGCTCTACCCAATCGCTGTGTGTATGCGAGGGGCTTCCACATGTGGCTTGCGAAGAAGCCTCTTTCACGCTTCTGCTAAATGTATGGAGGGACAGATTGGGGCACTACGTTTATTAGATACATGGAGGGGCGATCTCAAAAGGACTTGCAGCACTTTTCGGACCATTTAACGCATGTGGAAAGGACCACAATCAGACTTGCTTTATCATGTTTTTAATATTCTGTCGGGAGCCGCCCAGAGTGGTTGGGGAAATATGAGTGGCATACAAATATTATTATTATCCCTGCACACACACCCATTCATTGTACTGTACTGAAAAGACCCCCTCTGTATACACAAAGGACTCTTCTCTGCACAGTTGGGAACCATGAATATCTATCTATCATCTATCTATCTATCATCTATCTATCTATCTATCTATCTATCTATCTATCTATCTATCTATCTATCTATCTATCTATCTATCTATCTATCTATCTATCTAATCTATCTATCTATATCTATCTATCTATCTATCATCTATCATCTATCTATCTATCTATCTGTCATCTATCATCTATCTATCTATCATCTATCATCTATCTATCATCTATCTATCTATCTATCTATCTATCTATCTATCTATCTATCTATCTATCATCTATCTATCTCTATCTATCTATCTATCTATCTATCTATCTATCTATCTATCTATCTATCTATCTATCTATCTATCTATCATCTATCTATCTCTATCTATCTATCTATCTATCTATCTATCTATCTATCTATCTATCATCTATCATCTATCTATCTCTATCATATATCTATCACTGGCTTAAATATCCCCCTTCCTTTTCTGTATAACCCCATTATTTTTCTTTCGGATTTCAGACTGGCCTAAAAACTGTGGTGTTGCGTATTTCCAACCAAACATATTTGCTAAGATTATTGCCGGCAATGAAGCGAGGCCTCATTCTTGGCCGTGGCAAGTCTCCTTACAGGTACGAAACCTTTCAGTGATTCTCAAACCTTGGGCATGTACAAAATTTGGAGGAGGGCTTGGAGTCTATGAGACAGGCCTCCAACCTGTCTGTTCAGAAGCTAGGTCCAACCAGAAGTAGTTCCAATCAGAAACTAAGTTCCAGTAAGCAAAGGCCCTTTCTAAATTTGCTTGACACTTCCCTGTTTGTAGGTTCAGCTAATTTTATTACTTCCCTGTTCAGCATGGCTGGGAGATGAGTTGCTAGCTGCCCACTGTTTTGCTCCCAGGGTGGCGTGGTCATGAATTACTGGTTTCTTTGTACAGTCGTACCTTGGAAGTCAAACAGAATCCATTCCGGAAGTCCATTCAACTTCCAAAACATTCGAAAACAAAAGTGCAACTTCTGCTTGGCTGCAGGAAGCTCCTGCAGCCAATCGGAAGCTGCAGAAGCCCCGTCGGACGTTTGGCTTCCAAAAACAGTTTGCAAACCAGAACAGTCACTTCCGGGTTTGCAACGTTCGGGAGACAAAACGTTTGGGAACGAAGCTGTTTGATTTCCAAGGTACTACTGTACAGTGGTACCTCGGGTTAAGTACTTAATTCGTTCCGGGGGTCTGTTCTTAACCTGAAACTGTTCTTAACCTGAAGCACCACTTTAGCTAATGGGGCCTCCTGCTGCCGCCGTGCCACCAGGGCACGATTTCTGTTCTCATCCTGAAGCAAAGTTCTTAACCAGAGGTACTATTTCTGGGTTAGCGGAGTCTGTAACCTGAAGCGTATGTAACCTGAAGCATATGTAACCTGAGGTACCACTGTATCTGCTTCTTCCTTCTTTAATCTCCACCACAGCAAATTGTACTTCACACTGCAATATTTTGTTGCAGGTCACACTTGCCCTATGTACTAAGAGTGCTCCGAATTCTCCAAGTGCCAGTTGTCATGTAGGGAAAACTACGTCATCTTTGCACCACAGGGACCTATCAGCAGGGGAATGCCGAAGTTTGCAAAAAGAAAAGAAAAGAAAAGAAAAGTGTTTTTTTTAAAAAACAAAAACTAAGGTGGGGTTAGGGGCGAGAACCCAAAACAGCCCAATGAAAATTGAGCATGCTCAGCTATCTCAACATTTTGGTTGAATGTTGAAGTTGGAAAGGAAAGGAAAGGAAAGGAAAGGAAAAGAGGGGCAATGGAATGGAGTATCCTGAAAAAAGGCCTGGCTCAATGGCTAGACTGTTGTGCAGGAAGACTTCACATACCTGACTTGCTTTATGTACGCAGTAGGAAAAAAGAATGCCTTGTTTTAAAAATCCATTTCACATGTGATATGTTGTGCAACAGGCTTCTCAAACTCTGGCCTGTGACCGTTTACAACTGCTTCTAAAAATTAAGGGTTTCCCCAATATCCCCAGCAGTTTTCCAGTGGTCTGTGGAGGGGAAAGTTTGGGAACCGCTGTTGCAGAGGTTACTTTTGCCCTACTTCCAATTCCTTCCTGTGATTCAGCTCTGCATTTTCTCCCTCCATTTTCCTTCCCAGGTCCGTTCTAAACCAAGCGATAAATTCGTCCATGTCTGTGGCGGCACCCTCATTCACAAAAACTGGGTTCTCACTGCTGCCCACTGCTTCCAGAAGTAAGTTATCTACTGTGCGTGAATTTGTGGAGGCAGATCAAAACAATGTGGGTGGCTCATGCAAAATGGTATGCCTTTTGGCATCGATAAAGCAGGTGGGACGTACCTACTGTCATGCAATGCTTAGAGGACTCACCAGTCAGGAAGAATGTTATTGACTTCCTTAAACAAGTACAGAACACCAACAGGAAACCCCTAACCCCACCCAAAGACAATTAAGTACAGTGCCACCTGCTGGCTAAACTATATAATTACATTATCCACACACTAACTTTTCTCTTCTCCACCACTTTTTCTCCCCCTATTTTCTGTCTGGCTAAGCTTCTTTCTGGTCATTGAGCCTGTCTTGTGGGAAAGCCATTGGAGGAGAGGAGATGAAGGAGTGGGAAGCAGTGGGCAGGGGAAAGACAACAGCTTTCCTCCTGCCTGTTGTTTATCCCTTAAGTATAACGTCCACCTCCACATGTGGCAAAAGCGTTGGCCAGTGTAATCGTTCATTATTATTTTTTTCTACATGTAGAAAACAGAGTGATTTTATTAACTTGTCCCCCTGTGAAAAACTATACTTGGAAACTTCTTGTGTGAACAATTTTTTCTGAGTTCCCATGCAGTTTTGCTCATTGATGGTAGCGATACTAGTCTGGGTGGAGAATTAGACTTAATTCTGGGCCTCGGCCCAGTATACCTGAAGGAGCATCTCCACCCCCATCGTTCTGCCCGGATGCTGAGGTCCAGCGCCGAGGGCCTTCTGGCGGTTCCCTAATTGCGAGAAGTGAGGTTACAGGGAACCAGGCAGAGGGCCTTCTCGGTAGTGGCACCCGCCCTGTGGAACGCCCTCCCATCAGATGTCAAAGCGATAAACAACTACCTGGCATTCAGAAGACATCTTAAGGCAGCCCTGTTCAGGGAAGTTTTTAATGTGTGACATTTTAGTGTATTTTTGGTCTCTGTGGAAGCCGCCCAGAGTGGCTGGGGAAACCCAGCCAGATGGGCGGGGTACAAATAATAAATTATTATTATTATTATTATTATTATTATTATTATTATTATTATTTTATTTATGAAGGCAGGTAAAAGCAGATCGGGGTGGGGGGCATGTGAGACAACACACCCAACCCTACGGTGCATCATTTTCAGGGGACAGGAAGAAGATGTCACCAACTGGCGAATTCTTCTCGGCAAGCATCACCTTAACTACCTGGAATCCACAGAAAGAAGCTACCGGGTGAAGCGAATTTATCGGCACGAACGTTTTCAGTACCCTCAGCTAAATGAGCTAGAGTATGACATTGCTTTAGTCAAGCCAGTGGAAGAGATTACCGCCAACAGGTTTATCCATTATGCCTGCCTGCCAAAAAGAGGCAGTTTTCTCCGTCCGGGACACTCCTGCTGGGTGACTGGCTGGGGGGGCACGAGAGGTATTTCAGAGTGTCGTGTGCCACCAATAAGAATTACATTGTTTTCAATAAATGTCTATAGCTCTGCAGCCTTAATTTGTGCAAAGTTAGAAGAATTTGGCCCTGGAATCTGTTTTTGGTAGCCAAGCTGAGTCTTGGAATATGTTAAAGAGTCTCTAAACATGTGCAGAGTGCATTTCCTTGACAACCAAGAAGTCCAAATCAGCCACACATGCTTAGGACTAAAAACCAGGCCTTCTAACACAAGTGTCATTATTCTGAGACAGGTTTGAGCCCTGACATGATACCGTATTTTTCGCTCTATAGGATGCACTTTTTCCCCTCCAAAAATTAAGGGGAAGTGTGTGTGCATCCTATGGAGCGAATGCAGGCTCCTTGGCTTCAGCGATAGCAACGTGAAGCCTCCGAAGTGCAGAGGGAGCGCTCCTTCCGCGCTCCGGAGGCTTCAGGTTCCTTTTGCTGAAGCCGGGAGAGCAAGACTCTCTTGGCTTCAGCAGAGAGGGAGAGCTGCGCAGCGCCCCTTCAGCCAAGTGGGAGGAGAAATGGAAGGGGCTCTGTTTCTCCTGCCGCTTCGCTGAAGGGGCGCTGAGCAGAGAGGGGGAGATTTGTTTTTTCTTGTTCTCCCCCTCTAAAACAAGGTGCATCCTATGGTCCGGTGCGTCCTATAGAGCGAAAAATACGGCAATTTTCTTTAGAATTTAAGGACTTGTAGAATATGGAAAATTCGAAGTATTTACCATTTCCAGTGTAATGCAAAGTCACAAAATACTAATCTTCAAGGTTCCAAAAATGTTCTGGCTCTTACTTTTCTTCTGTTTTATGCACTGAAGGTGGACAAGATGAAAACTTCTCTCTCTCTGAGGTTTTGAATCAGGCCAAGTTGCCAGTCATAGATTTCAACACATGCCACCTCAAGAAGTTCTGGGGAAGCAAAATCCAAACATCAATGCTCTGTGCTGGACTGAAAGATACGGCAAGGTCTTCAGCTGCCTGCCAGGTACAGAAATGGGATATTCATGCAGAGCCTTTCCACACAAATCTGGTTTTAGGTGCTATCAGTAGACAAATCTCCCTGTCACTGTCGGTTTGAAAAATTTGCAACTTCAATAACCAAAGATTTAAGAGCTTATCATGCTACTACAGTGGTACCTCGGGTTAAGAACTTAATTCATTCCAGAGGTCTGTTCTTAATATGAAACTGTTCTTAACCTGAAGCACCACTTTAGCTAATGGGGCCTCCTGCTGCCGCCACGCCACCGGAGCACGATTTCTGTTCTCATCCTGAAGCAAAGTTCTTAACCTGAGGTAATATTTCTGGGTTAGCAGAGTCTGTAACCTGAAGCGCCTGTAACCTGAAGCGTATGTAACCTGAGCAACAACTGTACTGTTAATTGTGTCCAGATTTTCACTTTGGGAAGTATGGCAACCCTATTATGTCACTACTTAGAATACGACTGTTTCAAGATCAAGCCAGGTATGTATGACAAAGGAGATCTGTGAATAGGATCTCCAATAGTTTATTAGAGGGTGAATACTGGGGGCTGGGGAGTGTTTCAGAACTATGACACTGGGCATTGTGGCCTAACTCTCCTCCTGTACCTCCTATTGCTATTTGCTGCATTGGTCAATACATACAGGTATCAAATGGATACCTTTATGTTTTGCCATGTGGGGCAAAGACATTTGGGGTGGATGCTTTTAACTGGGAGGGTAGCACAGAGGAAGAGTTAACTTCATGCAGCCAACACTGTGATCTTGAGATGCTAATAACATTGCTAATAACCTTGAAAAACTGTGGAAGATTTTACTCCTGAATATTTAGCATCTCATCTAGATCGACACTCAAGTCTACCACTGAACCCTCACCGGCATAAGAACATGTTTCAACTCTTGAACGATATTTTATTTTCAGGGAGACTCGGGTGGCCCACTTCTTTGCCAAACTGGGAGAGAGACATGGGAAGTCCATGGGGTCGTGAGCTTCGGGCCAGTTGGGTGCCAGGTGCAGAACAAGCCTACTGTCTTTACTAGGACATCTGCGTATATTCCTTGGATTGAAGCAATCAGAATGCGGGATATTTTTTTGTAAAGGACAGGAAAGAGAAGGGAAGTCCAGGAATATCAATAAAATCCTTTGCAAATGTAGGAATGTGTGCTTATTTTAATACTGGAATTCTGGAAATGAGATTTGGGAAATGAGATTTGAGTTCATGGCTGAGCTGAAATTTGAACCTAGGGCCAACCCTGCAATCCTACTCACAAACGAGCCTACCAGCTAGAACAGCTTACTTTCCAAAGACACCTTTTTCCATTTTGGTTTGTGGTGGGATGCCTCCCAGCAAGTTCTTCTGCTAACCGTTGTGCAACTTACCGTTACATCTGAAATGTATGGAAAATAAGGTCAGAAAAATATTTGGGGCGCTTCATCCTGATTGGTTTGCAGGCTGGTAAGATGGAAGTTATGGGACGTGGGTATCGTTGTGGGTTAAACCACAGAGCCTAGGACTTGCCGATCAGGTCGGCGGTTCGAATCCCTGTGACAGGGTTAGCTCCTGTTGCTCGGTCCCTGCTCCTGCCAACCTAGCAGTTCGAAAGCACGTCAAAGTGCAAGTAGATAAATAGGTACCGCTCCGGTGGGAAGGTAAACAGCATTTCCGTGCGCTGCTCTGGTTCGCCAGAAGTGGCTTAGTCATGCTGGCCACATGATCCGGAAGCTGTACGCCAGCTCCCTTGGCCAATAAAGCGAGATGAGCGCCGCAACCCCCGAGTCGGCCATGACTGGACCTAATGGTCAGGGGTCCCTTTACCTTTACCTTAAGATGGAAGTTGGCTATTTAAGGAGCATTCATTTTTTACTTGTGTGTGTGTGTGTGTTAAATTAGGTGATGTCGCGCCAAACCAGTGTTATCACATACTTTCCAGTCCATTTCTCCATCCAGTCTTTTGAGGAAGCGTGTTTCTTGTGTTAGACCTCCCCATCAACTATAATCGTGCAACCTGAATTTGCCAGAGACGGGCTGGAGGCGCCTGTTGATTTCTGCGCTGAATAGAGGGAGGAAAGCCTCTTTCTCGGCAGCCACCATGGAAACACAGAACAGAGGCAGAATAGTATCCTCCTCAAACAGGAGGCTTAAAAAAAAAATGGTCAACGAAAGGCAGGAAGCTTTCAGGCTCCAGAAAATGGGGTTTCCCCTCTTCCTTGACCGGCAGGAATAATGCAGGCAAGTAGGCCTTATCGCAAGCTAGTAAAAATTGCCTTCAGGGTATATATAGAGAGAGAAAAATTTAAAAAGGCAGTGAGGCTAGAGGGAGAGGAAATAAACACTCAACACACAACCCTGCATCTGAAATAAGGACAGCAACCATTCACAAAGCAGCATTGACATGTCACTCAAGTCATGATGAACAGCAACAACGGGGGGAAAGATAGACGTAACATTTTACAAGGACAGGAACACCATGGACAGAGTAATTGCCACACACAGGAAGAGCAAGGATATAGTTTGACTGCCTCACTTGTAGTTCTATAAATCATTTAATGTGTCAACACGAACAGACGTTATTAATATTGCAGTTGTTGTATAAGGGATTATTATTTTGACTGGAATGCAATTGAAATTAGTAAGATTTTGGAACGCAGAAATAAAATAGCATGCAGGAGGCCACCTAAGTTATATACAGAATTCGGTATTTGAACAATTGGTATTAGCAATTGTATTCTAATTTGGTAGCTATAATGAGGTTGTTATTGGATTGAAATTGAAAATTAATGAGAATTATTATAAAAAAGCAGTGTTGACACATATATCATGGCAATGGTGAGTAAATGCAAGCTTGTTTTTCCAACACTGTACAACTGTCATTTAATTCAGTCTACAAGCTCTTAGGAAATGCTTGTTCGTTTGCTTTTATTTTGCTAAATTTGTATACCGCCCTTCATCCAAAGGCCACAGGGGGGTTTACAACGCAAAATACATAATATAATAACAAATAATGTGACCCCAACACGGCACATTTTTTAAAAAAAGCTTAGTAAGCCCAAGGCAAGGGGAAAGTCTTGAACCAAACAACCTGCCTGGCTATTTCTTTGAGCTACGAGCTATTTCCCTCCTCCCAGCCTGCTTTACGTAAAGAGGAGGTGGAAGCGACGTCGCCCACAATTGAGTCCGGGCAGCGGCTTCTGGAGGCGCGAGTGCGCATGCCTCTTCTCCCGGGAGCTTCCGTTGGTGCCTCTAACGGGAGGGGGCGGCCGAATACCGTCACCCGAAGGCGCCGGGCCTCCGCGGAAATCTCGCGATATCTTGCCCCCGCTCCACCCCGCGAACCCTCTTTTCCGGCCTGAGCTCCTTGAGGGGAAAGTCGCCTCGTCGCCTTTGCGCCGGCCGCTGTCTGCAGGTTGCCGGGTGAGTCAGAAGGTGGGAGCCGCGGGTTGGGAGAAAGGGCCTCGGCCGCTGACCGGCATGAGGGTGTTGAGTGAGGTGGGGCGGAGAGGCTCGCCTTGACCTATATTGCCCTCCGCTTTCCGTCCCAGGAGCCGGTTACGTAACTGCACGTGGGAAGAGTCCAACGCGTGTCAATCTTTCTTGGCGTTCACCGTGAAATGTAACGCCCTGCGTTGCTTCCTTATGCTGAAAGTGTCTGGTATTTCTGCGGTTGGGGATTGAACGTAAGCCCCTCCCCGAGCCAAATAAAATATAAAAAAATGTTTTTGGTGTCGTTGGGGGCCTAAGAAAACCCGTGGCGAGGGTGGCTCACATTCTCACCTGTTTATTAATGCCATTTATCGATCGCATTCATAGCCCAAGCAGCTCAGAATGCATGGAGCTTTCCCCCATTCTGCTCATTTAACTCCCACAACAATCAGTGGTTTTTTTCTGGGGGTACTCAAGGGTACGCAGTACCAGCAGCTCCCCCAACAGATCATCTTAAAAGTGTGGCACTAACAACTTCATGGTGAGTACCAGTACCATATTTTTCCTTTATAAAAGCAGTGACAGCAACCTTGTGAGGTAGGCTAGGCAGAGAAGCAGCGAGTGGCCCAAGGCCACCCAGTGAGTTTCATGACCCAAGTGGGGGATTTGAACCTGGGTCTTCCGGGTGCTCGTTCCTGTGAGAGGGTCTGGATTCATTTATTGGCTACACAGTATTGATGCTCTTAAACAATGCTGGGCGGACTTATGTCTTACAGGATTTCCTTCGTTGTCATTGTTTTTGCTTGATCCGGCAACTGGAACATTGTGTGGGGACAGGATGGGAAATTATATATTTAGAATTAAGGAATGACAAGCCTGTTGCTTTTCAGTAGCAGAACTGGGTTCATAGCAATCTCCACCTGGTTTTCTTCATTTTAGCCATCTAATTGAGGATGAGGTGGGAGCTTTGCTGCCGCTATCATTAAATAATCTGAGAGTCAAACTCTTGCAAGTCTACCATAAATTGCCCAGATCTCAATCTACCTTCAACCCACCTCGGTACATGATTTTGAATATACAGCTATCCTTATCCCTCAGTCTAGCCTCACCACATCAGCAGAATTGGAATTATGATGCCCTGTACCTCATAGGAAGAGTGGAATCATGACCTCTGCCTTTTATATATAAATCCAAACATGGACGTGATCAAGCCAGAGTTAAGTGTTTCTCTGGTTGGTTACTTACATTAGGAATTAAGAGGCAGTGGTGGCAAGCTGTAGCTGATGTGGATAGGGGAAAGTTGCTACACAGTGCAATTGTTGTCTAGTACGGTTGTTATGGAGTGGGTGGGGTTGCCTCTCAAAAAGGCCAGAACTTCCCTGGCAGGTGCAGCCACACCTTGCAATTCCTTGCGTGGTATGATTGCAGCACCAGTCTCTCTGGTGCATTACTGAAAGCTTTGAGGTTACACTGGCTGGTGCAAGTCTTGTCTTCTGGTATTCTCAAAATAATTTGGTTGCAGATGTGAGTGCCATGGTAGATACAGCAGGGCTGTATACCCCACCAGATGGGTGGAGTATAAATAATAACAATAATATAATATGCTTATCACTACAGTTGGGGTTGTGGGGCACAGGGAGAACTTTCAGCCCCTGCTAAGAAGCAAGAATGTAGAACTGCATGACAGCAAGAGCTATTTAAATGTTTGAGATTAAGTGTCTGCATGCTGAAAGCTAGAGGGAAATGGAGTTGTGGGATATAAGATTATCTTGGGCTTTGAAAAGGGAGAGAAATTTCTTTATGTGAAACGGCATTTACATTCACCTCTGGTATCAAGGTAAAGGAAATTTAGGAAAGGAAATCCCAGCTCTGCCTTAGTGATGACATAGTGTCCTGTGTGCATCTCAGGAAGCTTCACTTGCACAGCAGTTAGGAGTAATTATTTTCAGCAGCAGCAGCAGCAGCCTTCTCTATTGCCTACTATTCTCCTAAAAGCTAGAATTGGGACTAGTCTTTGTCATAATGCTGGAAGTGATGTGTGTAGAAAATTGGGAAGTGCATGCATTTAAGAGCCTCTGAATCTTGGTCTTAATGTAAAAGCCACTTACCACACCTTCCGGAGTTTGTATCTTAAAAATATATGCTCCAGCAGATTTAGTTTATTGTGAAACAACAACAAAACCATACATCTATAAATCAAGAACCAATTAATCTTCAACATGTCTTGTTTTCTGTCACCAATGTTCTGTGTTGGGGGTAAAAGGAAGTATACTTGGTTTCAGTGATATATAGTTTATTAAAAGTTGAGTCCTGTTGTTGAGACATGGGCAAGTGGCTTTTTGTTGAAGCTTCTGGGTTTTAGGGGAAATTCCTGAGGCTTTATGCTGCAGCTTTTATTTGCATGTGTTTTATGTTTTTCTCTCTTGTATTGGATTAAGAGGAAAGGGTGTCAAAATAGAACAAAGTTGTTTTTCCCCTTTGGTCTATTTTAATAGAAACTCATAGATAATGGAAAACTGGCAAGTCATAAAGTAGGTGACTTGATGATTCTGTAAGAATATAATCTTGTGTTTACGAGCATGCAAAGAATGTGACCACAAAACCTTTCAGGCACCACATGTTTTGAAGGTGCGATTGGATTTGCAGTCCCTTCAAAATGATTTGTTGGAAAACCACA